TTTTTTTTTTTTTTTTTTGAGATGGAGTTTTGCTCTTGTTACCCAGGCTGGAGTGCAATGGCGCGATCTCGGCTCACCGCAACCTCCGCCTCCCGGGTTCAGGCAATTCTCCTGCCCCAGCCTCCCGAGTCGCTGGGATTATAGGCACGCGCCACCATGCCCAGCTAATGTTTTGTATTTTTAGTAGAGACGGGGTTTCACCATGTTGACCAGGATGGTCTCGATCTCTTGACCTCGTGATCCACCCGCTTCAGCCTCCCAAAGTGCTGGGATTACAGGCTTGAGCCACCGCGCCCGGCCCTCATAAATATTTTTAATCTAAAAAATTCTCTACTGGGCCAGGTGCGGTGACTCACACCTGTAATCCTAGCACTTTAGGAGGCCGAGGCAGGCAGGTCACTTGGGCTCAGGAGAGTTCGAGATCAGCCTGGGCAACATGGTAAAACCCTACATCTACAAATACAAAAATTAGCCAGATGTGGTGGCACATGCCTATAGTCCCAGGTACTCGAGAGGCTGAGGTAGGAGGATTGCTTGCACCCAGGAGGTGGAGGTTGCAGTGAGCTGAGATCACTCCACTACACTCCAACCTGGGTGACTGAGTGAGGCCCTTTCTCAAGTAAATAAATAAATAAATAAATAACCCACTACTGTATCATCTATCACCGCATAATCTTAAACAAAATCTTGATTCTGTGATTTTAAGGCCAACTTTAAAAAATAATTTTCATTTCTTATTTTGAGATTTAGAAGTAGCTAGTAGCTGATCTTTCTGTGCTTATATATCACTTCAAAAGCCCTCAACTCACCTCTATGTTTCATTCATTTCTTTTTTTAAGTTGTGTTGGTATGGATTTTTTCCTTCATTGGAAAGACAGCTTTTAAAAGAACATATTCATTTTATAATCACAAAAACACACACAAAAAACAGATGCGTTCATTCCAGAAAACATGGAAAACCGTATCACTACTTTTAAAAACCAGAATAGCATTACCTGGTTTAATTGCATAGGCATCAAAATTTTTTATTCCTTCTTCTTTTAAGATATTTTCATCAATGACAAAGTTGCCGGTAAAATTTTTTGGCTTTTTGAAGATGGCATATGCTGCATCTGCAATGATATCAACTTTTCTACACTGGCTTTCGATACCAGATCCCCCCAGCATATCCATAGCAGCAGTGTGAATGGCTGGAGAGAAAACACACACACACACAGAGACAGACGCTCGTAACTCCAAATCAAATAATAAAACTATGAAAGTAACAAGCAAGCACCACCCTTCACAATTATCAAGGCGAATCCCCTCATTTCTCAGTTGATGAAAACAAGGTCCACAGTGCTTAAGAGGTTTGCCTAATGTTCTACAGAGAAAACTGGGTAGAGAACACATGTTCCTATGCAACACTGCCTTATACTACAGACTCAACCTTAAGACGCAAAGTAAAATTCAATGAACTTTCTGATTTAGAATGCTCAAGAATTTGCATGCTTTTTAAAGGAATAACTGAAGAGACCTCTAATAGCTTCCAATTGATTCTCCTGATAACAGCTAACTGATTACTGCCTGAAAACAGTCAATACCAACAGTCTTAAGGGTAAAGATTTCCTTTAAATAATGGAGTGTATATGAAGCTGAAAACATCAGCACTGCCTGTGGTGACTCCTTCTCTGGGAAGAGTGCTTGTTTTGCCTCTTTGACACTTGTCAACCACCACCAAACACATGCACACACTTGTGTGGGTATCCACTGAACCAACGATCCCACTGATTATAAAGTGCACCATTACTTTAGGGACCACTAAGGCAACTAAAAAGCTGCCAATTACACTATGACATATCATTCATTGTATGATACAGACAGGTATCCGAGATGTACAAATATAAAACATGGGCATCTCAGAATAAACAAAAAAGGTATAAATTGTTTAGCCTAGTCAGTAAAAATAGATTCCTTGAAAAACACTCAATATATATTGGCTGGATTTCTGGGGGTCCTTTTTAGATTCAGACAATACTGCTTTGTAGAAAATATTAGAAAACAGCCGGGTACAGTGGCTCATGCCTGTAATCCCAGCACTGTGGGAGGCCAAGGTGGGTGGATCACATGAGGTCAGGAGTTCTAGACTGGCCTGGTCAACATGGTGAAACCCCATCTCTACTAAAAATACAGAAATTAGCCAGACATGGTGGCAAGCGCCTGTAGTCCCAGTTACCTGGGAGGCAGAGGCAGAAGAATCATTTGAACCTGGTAGGCGGAGTTTGCAATGAGCTGAAATCACTCCACTGTAATCTAGCCTGGGTGACAGAGCAAGACTCTGTCTCAGGAAAAAAAAAAAAAGGAAATAAAGAGAAGTAAAAGGAAAAATTGCTTAATTAATTATAATTTCCCTATCCAGGGATAACTGCTGTTAATGTTTGCATATAATTTTTTCTGTGTTAGGTATACTTTTAAAATTATGTCTCTTATATGAAGTAACTTGAAACTCTACAATTAACAGTACATTATTAATTACACATTGTCAACAGTAACATCTCAATTTGCTTACATATATCCTAGTTTACATCAAACAGGAAAAACCTATTTATTTTCCAACATAATTCATAGGTTCACAGAAAGTCAATGTATGTAAACATACTTTAGGTTTGAGAGTTTCTAGTACTTTAGATAAAACCTCTTTCCATACATTGTTTTTTTTTTTTTTTTTTTTGAGACAGAGTTTCGCTCTTGTTACCCAGGCTGGAGTGCAATGGCGCGATCTCGGCTCACCGCAACCTCCGCCTCCTGGGTTCAGGCAATTCTCCTGCCTCAGCCTCCTGAGTAGCTGGGATTACAGGCACGCACCACCATGCCCAGCTAATTTTTTTGTATTTTTTAGTAGAGACGGGGTTTCACCGTGTTGACCAGGATGGTCTCGATCTCTCGACCTCGTGATCCACCCGCCTCGGCCTCCCAAAGTGCTGGGATTACAGGCTTGAGCCACCGCGCCCGGCCTTTCCATACATTGTTAAAATATAATTTTAAATTATTACATACCAGAATAACTTACATACTTTGGTCTATAAGATGAAATGTCTATATCTTTCAAGAGCCATTGGCCCCTTTTCATTCATTCAACATAGTTATTGAGCACTTACTATAAGTCCAGTGCTATTCTAGATATTGACGACATAGGAGTTAACAAAATAGACATAAAGCATTACCTTCATGGAACTTACATCCTTATTTTTTTAAATGTTCAATTAATTTAGGGAATTTCTTGAAAGCATTGAGTTAGAAGACACTTGTCTATTTCATAACTAAAAAATCATTTACGAGGAATAATTTTTTTTTTTTTAAGATAGAGTCTCACTCTGTCACCCAGGTTGAAAGCAGTGGTGAGATCATGGCTCTCTGCAGCCTTGATTTCCTGGGCTCTCAAATGACCCTCCTACCTCAGCCTCCCACCACATCCAACTTATTATTATTATGATTATTTGCAGAAATGAGGTCTCGCTATGTTTCCCAGGCTGGTCTCTAACTCGTGGGCTCAAGCCATCCTCCTGCCTTGGCCTCCCAAAGTGCTGGGATTACAGGTGTGAGCCACCATACCTAGCCTGAGAAATAATTTTTTTCCTTAACCAACAGATCAAGAGCAAAAGCTCTGGTCTCACTCTTGAGCTGATCCTTCATTAATAAAAAAATATATAGCAGCTGGGTGTGGTGGCTAGAGCCTATAATCCCAGATATTCTGGAGGCTGAGGCAGGAAGATGGCTTGACTCTAGGTATTTGAGGCTGCAGTGAGCTATCTGCAGTGAGCCACTGCATTCCCTGTCTGGGTGACAGAGTGAGACTCCATTTGTTTATCTAAAAAAACAAAAATAAAAAATAAATAAAATAAAGAATAGCACCTGCCATTCATTAAGTATACCCTGTGCTAGGCATGCTGTTATATATTTTACATATACCATCTTAATTAATTCTTAGAACCCTCAGATAGGTCCTGTTGTTATTTCCATTTTACAGATAGGAGCACTCAAGCACAGGGAAGTTAAGTAACTTGGCCAAGGTCACAGAAGCTAAAATTCAAGCACCCAGCAGCCTGACTTCAGAGCCAGGCTCTCATCCATGATGCAACTAAACAGGTCATACCTTGTTAACCAAAGTTCTTGGAGTTCAGTTATCATCTCACCCCTGAAAACTGCAGAACTTTTCTGTACATAATTGAGCATAATCTATTTTGAGACTATATGCATACATGTACACTCCTAGTCTCCATGTAAACGACATGAATTGTATAAGAATCCTTAAAAACTCTAAATTAGAAGTCTAATAAAAATATGTATAAGTATACACATGCTGTGTGTATGTGGTATGTGTGAGCGTCTATAGAGTAAGAAATGTTCCTCCAACCTATCATTACTTTAACAATCTTTCTAGGAAAGATACAAAGAAGGCACAACTCAAAATCAAAATCAAGAAGACACTCAAAATCAAGAAGTGGGCCGATGAGTATTTCTCAACAAAGATTTTGCAATGCCAACAAGCTAACCCAACAGGTTAGAAAAACTGATAACCATAAAAGCAGGTTAACAGTAGGATCAATCAAATGAAATTCACTGATGATTTCTGGGAAAGAAAATAAGCAAGGACACTGCTCTAATTGTGGATAATATATGCTACACTGCAGCCACTCTGTTAACTACCATAAATCTCCTTTTCTTTGAAAGGCAATAATGCTGGGAGATTACTTCTGGTTCCAGCTGACATAAAGAGTCATCTAAGATGAGGAGATGAGTGTTTTCTTTTAAATAGAGGCCTCTCCAACAGCCAAGAGCCTGGACACCCTCTCAAGCCCAGTTTCACTTCTCCATTTGCATCGCCTCACTCATGAATCATGTAATATTCTAGCTAGCTTTCCTGCCTCTTCTCTCTGCAATCTTATAAGCCATCCCATATTCAGATGCCAGATTAAACTCCCTAAACCTCATCAACAACCATATTACTTCACTGCTCCTATTTTTCCCAGTTTATTATTAATCCTCTGCTTTCTTTTTGCATTTATGAAATTTATTGTCTAGTGAAGGGGGACAGAAATAAAACAATCACAGAAATAAATATTTGATTCCTTTTTTTTTTCTTTTGAGACAGAGTCTCACTCTGTCACCCAGATGGGGTACAGTGGCAATATCTCTGCTCACTGCAACCTCCGCCTCCTGGGTTCAAGCGATTCTCCTGCCTCAGCCTTCTGAGTAGCAGGCACGCACAACCATGCCTGGCTAATTTTTGTATTTTTTAGTAGAGGCACGGTTTCACCATGTTGGTCAGGCTGGTCTTGAACTCCTGACCTTGTGATCCGCCCGCCTCGGCCTCCCAAAGTGCTGGGACTACAGGCGTGAGCCACTGCACCCGGCCTTGATCCTCTGCTTTTAAGATTCTTCAGTGGCTCTCCACTGAATGTAGGTTAAAATTCAAGCTCCTAAACTTGGCAGATGGATCATCCATCTCATCCATCTTCCCCACACCCTCACATCCACCCAACATTCCAGTCAACCTGTATAACTTGAGTTGCTCAAGTTCAGTGGGAAATAACAAGCCCACACCCTATCATACATACACCACCAATTCCTTTAGTTCCCCAACACAGACAGTATTTTCCCATACTGCAAACTTTGCATGTGTCGCTCCCTCTGCTGAGAAATGTCCTTCCCAGTTCTCCCTTTTGAAAAATTCCAACATCCCCTTGAGATCTCACTTCAATTGTTTACCTGCTTTTGAAAATCTACTTCTCTGACCCTTTCTCCTGAGTTACTATGTCTCAAAAGCACCCTATAGGTCAACCATGGTGGCTCACACCTGTAATCCCAGCATTTTGGGAGGCCGAGGTGGGTGGATCACTTGAGGTCACGAATTCCAGACCACCCTTGGTTTCATGGCCAATGTCATGAAACCCCCATTTGCACTAAAAAAATACAAAAATTAGCCAGGCATGGTGGTGTGTGCCTGTAGTCCCAGCTACTTGGGAAGCTGAGGCAGGATAATCGCTTGAACCAAGGAGGCAGAGGTTGCAGCCAGCCGAGATGGTGCCACTGCATTCCAGCCTGGGTGACAGAGCGAGATTTTGTCTCAAAACAAAACAAAACAAAACAAAAACCCAGTACATGGTTCATCATACAATGCACCACAAGGAACATGACTGTAAACTGGATT